GCTTAGTTCTTTAACAAACCCAGAACACAAACTTTGAAAATTGAAATCCAGAAGATAGAGAATTCTAAACTTGATGAACAGTTAATTCGGACATTGCGAAGTCTCCAAATTCGTCATAATTTTTTTTCTGATAAACAAAAAGAAATCTGGGAAATTTGTAAAGAGGAGGCGAATTCTAGGGTTCTTGTTCATCTGATTTCTTGGGTTCATCAAATCGGAAATAGAAGTGAGGATTGTGAGAGGAGAAAGTAGGAAGCAGAGTAAGGTATRGAGCATGAKAATGGAGGTTGATGTAGTCTCGAAGCCGTTGCTTTCTCCGTTGAATGGAGGTTGATGTAGTCCCGAAGCCGTTGCTTTCTCCGTCGAACCCGTTGCTTTCTCCGTCGAACCCATCGATGCCGGATCAAAAAAAGTGGATCGGAATTTGGTTTTGGGGAACGGTTTTGGTTTTGGATAGGATAATCCCGTATTAATCCGGTTAAAAAGGTTTTGAATGGTTAAGTAATGATTTTAAAACAGTAAACCAAACAGTAAACCATCTTTGTGGGTAAATAAACAAGAAACTTTGATTTGGTGGTGATATACATATTTAACTTTCAATTGGTGGAGATATACATATTTAACTTTTAGTTCATGGAAATATATACAGATGGTAACATTTGGGAGACATATATGCGTATATCAAAGTTTTGGTGGAAAAATAGATAGTTTTTCCTCATTATCCATGATACCATGTGGGTATAATTAACATTAGTTTAATATTAATTTTAATAATAATTTAATTTTTAAGACTGATTAAGAATTTTCTAATTTTTATATGTTGAATAGTAATACTCAATGAAGTTTTAAGAATAAAAACTTTAATTTTTTATAAAAAATAAAATGAAAAAATCAAATTAGTATATATAAATATACAAGATTTTATAAAAACTTAAATTTATTATGTTTCATAAAATTTTACACGTATATTACAATCTATTAAAACAAATTGAAACATAAATCGTATGTAGTAAAATACAAAAAAACGTAGAATGATAAAAAAACATATAAAAGCATGATGAAAAACACAATTAACTCGGCTCTAGTTTTCAGTGGTGCCAAACTTTTGCCAAATTTGTAGATGTCTCTGTAGAATACGTGTAGATGTCTCTGAGTAATATAATAACATTTATCCGAACATG